GTCATAGAATTGATCTTGTTTTAATACATACTGACTTTTTTCGTGAAAAAAAATTTTTTTCAAATGATTTCATTTGAATGTTTTAACGGAGGAGAAGTTCTCAAACAGGAAGAAAGCTGCAGTAGGAGAAGAAAACAGTTGAGAGAATTGGAGGCAAATTCTTCATCACTGGAAAAACACTGCGGGTTAGTCTCCAAGCCATCCAGTGCCCCAGACAGGAGGACAAAAAGGAGGAGGCCTTTTCAACACGCTTTGGTGGCCACTTGGAGCCCAAAGGACTGGCTACCTGGCGCGGAAGGGACACTTTCCCCAGGGTGTCTCTCAGCGAACCTGGTTCATTCTGCTCCCTCCCTTCCAGAAGAAAGGCCTAGCCAGTTCCAAGCTGGGGAGGTGACCTAGAGACATCCTCTGTCAAGCCTGCACCTGTCCTGAATCCAGAAGGCCACCTAGGACTCTGCCGGCCCTCACTTCCTCGTCCACCTTGTGACGCCCCATTCCCGCTCCACGTGTAACCCCTGGTCTGTTACTCTGATCAAATCTCACCTGAGGAAATAGTTGGGGTGTGGGGCGAGGCCCAGGGGCGGCTAAGAGCAGAAGGGGTGCGTTCGCGGAGTGGGGTGATCATGGGACGGTCCTCTCAACTCTTGCTAGAGGGTCCTACCCCAGCTGCCAATTTAATTTCCGGGTTCCGCAGCGTCTCTAGGAATTGAGAGTGTGGAGAGGTAGGGTCCAGAGGGGCGGTGGCAGCAGCCCGGAGGTGGGGGAGGCGAGATCCAAGTAGCTTGGGGAGTGAGTCTTGCTTCCCCCTGGCGGGCTCTCTCTGGGGTCCTGGAGAGGCCCCTTGCAACCCCTGCCCCGCTCTGGGAGGCGGTGAGCCCTGTCTTGAAGAGGTCCGGAGAAGACTAGTGAGAGGAATTCCGCAAAGGGTGCAAGTTATGTGACCAGAGGCCTAAGACCCGAGCACTTGGGAAACAAGCACAGCTATGCATTTACCGTCTAGGTAAAAACGAAGTAGGAAGTGAACAGGCAAGGGCATGCATCAGTCCTGAAGTCACAATGCTTTCCTGCTTTCCCCAGATCTTACAGGAACCTTCTTATATAGGATACTTGCACAACTGGTTCCTCACTGCCTCTCCCAGTCTAACGTTAAGCAGGCTCTAGTTCATCCCTAATGTGCATCATTTCAGGCTTCAAAAATGGTATATATACATATATATATAATAAAAATATATATATATATTTTTACTGGTGATGGTCATGACACTTTGTAAAACTGAGAAGTATAAGGAAGAAATTAAAGATTACCAATCCTAGTCCCCCATCCTAAGGAAAGCACTACAGATATTTTGGTACATAAACGAGGTGTGGAGGTGTGTGGGTGTGTGTCCAGAGAGAGGAAAAGAGAAAAAGGAAGAATAAGTATTGTTTACTATTTTGAATCTTGAAAAATCACTCAACTTTATAATGTAATCATTTCAAGTTCTATTAAATATTCTTTAGAAATATGATTGCCTATTATATGCCAGAGTCCAGAATATTCCAGACCATTATTCCAGAGTATGGTTTTGTGCCACAACTTAACATGTTATTGCTCAAATTTAAGGTAATTTTCAATTTCTTGCTACTATTTATCTGTCTGTATTGATCTTTGTCATAATCTTTCCTTCTCTGGATGATGCCTACACAGAGAATAATTGAATAAGAATGTGTGGATATTTTTTTCTTACTAAAATTTTTTTAAAAATTAAGCTCTATGACCTATGTGGGGCTTGAACTCACCACCTCGAGATCAAGAGTCACATGCTCTAGGGACTGAGCCAGCCAGGTGCCCCCAAAAATGTGTGGATATTTTAAAAATTCTTCATACCTACAATAATAATGTCCCTGCCATTGGAGTGTTTAAAAAATGCACTAATCTTATTAGTCAATAAACAGACACAATATTAGTGACCATTATGTGAGAACAAGAATTTAGAGATCTGTAGCTTTTTAAAAAAGCTATTCAATACTATAATTTTATACTTAGAAAGTGAAAGAATATCCATTGTTTACATAGTTTATTTTAAAAAAAATTTTTTTACATAGCTTAAACTGTAGAAATAAAACACCACAAAAATATTTTATCAGGTTAGATTTTGTAGCAGACAGGATTCTCTGGCCTAAGGTATTTTAGTATGGGGGGGGCAAGTGAGATTGTTATACTTCTCAAAAAGGATGAAAAATGAAAAAGGATAAAAATACTGGGTCAAGTGTTCAGCCTTCCTCTAAGAAAGTATTTTTGAGATGATTTGGACCAGTTTTACTAATAGGAGCCATTCGCATATTGGAAAAATGGTATAGCTTAACTCTACCATGGTAGTTACTAGTGATGAACTAACACGTAACTAGCAGACCTATAAAATATTACGGACATAGACAAGTTTATTTCCTTACTGCCTTAGGATGACAATGGATTTTTTAAAATTCAAGAGTCCCCAAAGAAGTAAATGAATATTAAGTTTTGGTGACTGAAAGTGTCATTGTTTCTTTAGAACATACGACAACCCAGGAATCATGTTCACATTGGGAATAAAGGTTTATGCTAACTGTATAGTGCTTACCTTGAGAGAACGCTTTGCTGTTAAAGGCAATAAAAAAAAACATAAGAGTTCCCAAATAGTAGTAAAGAAATAAATACTTAATATTATAAAAATAGGACTGTTTTGTAAACACACCAAGGTAGAAGTAACAAATCAATTAATGTAATTCATCAGGCATGTGTGAATAAGAAACTAGTAATATGGAATTTTATTATATGCATTTTCCAGCCAGATAAAAATAGAAAGTCATAATGAACACAGTTGCAGAAATTCTAAAAATAAAAAATAATTACACCTTATATATTTGTATTAAGCAATTCAAACAAGTAATTTTTTAGCATTTTGGCCCTTAAGAAATTGTATGAGTCCCAACTTAATTACCACCCACATATAGTCTTAAGTCAGTATAACCATAGGCATAATATATATTTATATGAAATATAAAATCATACATCACTTATAATTAATACTTCCATTTGTCATATTTATGTGTATAATTTCACAAATGAAGTGGGATAATTGCACATATTCTTAAAACATATTTTATTCTACTTAAGTCATGTGTTCTGTGTTCAGATATTTAATAAAAATTGGGCTTTTCAAGTAGTCAATACGTTTTTAAATAACTTCACATATTATTCCTAAAAATTGATTTATACAGATAACAAGAAATAAATGACTACTTTCAATGAATCTACTATTTTTATATTTTTGACATTTCATAAAATATATAAAATGAATATGGTATCTAACATAAAGTAATTACACTATTACATTGTGTATTCTTAAAATAGAAAACATGTAATTATGATATTTACATAGATTAAAATTTTCTACTCTTATTATAGATTTCAAGAAACAATCTAATAGTTAAAATAGCTTTACATAGAGAGTAATAGTAACAACTCTGATATCCAAAAACATGTGACTAAACCTTTGCTGGTAAGAATAAAGCACCATAAAACAAACAAACAAACAAACAAACAACAATAGGGTCTTGTTAATGTTTTAAAATGGGACTGAAGTTAAGTCCAGCAAAATGCTATGAAATCTTGTAAAAGCTCTTACTAATTCTTTTAAAAAACTGAACTTTTGTAATAACATGAAAAAAATGTGTATTTACCCTGTAAGTTGTTTGTAAATTTTTTAAAGATCTTCTTTTTAAGTAATCTCTACGCCAACGTGGGGCTCGAATTTACAATCCCCAGATCGAGTTGCCAGCTCTATAGGCTGAGTCAGCGAGGCGCCCCTGCTTGCAAATTTTAGTAAATTGAGGCACTTAACTAAACACCGGTAGTTTGAACAGTTTCACATTTACATCTCAAAGGCCTATTAACGTAACAATAAAAAATAATTCCTCTTCTCCTGGCCTTTGCTTTTTCAAAATATCTATTCCTGGGGAAATGGGTACCACAAGTAAGGTCACAAAAATGAAGCCTCATTAAATTGCTTTTAGGTTTATATCCAAATTCTAACTAGGATCCTGCCTATTGTAGTAATATGTATTTTCAGTTAATCTGGTCCTAGGAAATTACACGGAGTAAAGATTCGTCTGATGGGAGGACAAACCTCCCTAGGATTTTGTTTTTCAAGAAGTAGGCCTCATTTTTAAAAGAAGTGTTAATTGTGGCCTGAGATGATTAAAATATGATGGGTTGTGATTTCTCAGACTCACCACCGTAGGTCTATTTTTTGCTAAACATTTTGCTAAGCATCATCCCGAGCAGTTTGAATCTGTTAGGGTTCCAAATAGGAGATCGCCACCTTACCACCACAGCCCAACCAACTCTCTACTGACTGCAGAAGCAGTGTTTGCTTCTTGGATCAGTGTTTCTATTTCGAGAAGTCAAACCATGTGCTAGCCCCCCCTCCTCCCGCCCCCAACATCCTCCACTACGGTAAGGAGTGAGGGCTGACCTGGCAGGGGAGAAAACAGGTGGCCCCCACAAAACCAAGACCGTTAGTAAGCCTTTCCTCCAGGGCGAAATGAAGTGCCCTAGAAACACACCTTCTGAGTGTGTGTGTGTGTGTGTGTGTGTGTTGGTGGTGGTGGTGGTGGTGGTGGTGGTGGTGGTGGTGGTGGTGGTGGTGTGTGTGTGTTTACTGACTCCCACCCAGGAAATTCAGGAGAGACTGACTTCTAAGGTGGCGTTAGAATCTCCCGGCTCTTCCCGGAGTTTCACGGGATCGAGGAGGTGTGTGAAGGGGGCTCCGGGCTTAATATATTGGGGGTACCGCACCTTTAAGTAAGTGTAAGCCGAACGGGGAAAGGGGGGAAAGAGCTTCCACCCCTGGAAACCTCCTTCTCCTGTCCTGGTCTGGAAGATGGTTCATCTGTATTAAATCAAACCAAACAAAATCTTCCAAAGGCCGAGTGCGTCCGGGACTGCTGCGCCCGGGGCTTCTGGAGGCCTTTCTTACCTGCTCTTCGAGGATGCGCTCTGCGACGGCTCCTCACTAGCTTTAGCACCAGGGCCGCTGCGGCCCGCACACCCGGCGCTGCCCACTCACCCGCGGGCCGCGCGATCCGCACCACGAAAGCCCTCACTCGCGGCGGGCCCCCAGCGCGCCGAATCCGCACAGTGATCAAAAACGCGCGCACCATAATCTCGCCGCCGCCACCTCTGCTGTGCTCCTCGATCGCTGCGCCGCCTTTTGGCATCAGAGGTAGGCAGCGCGGCGCCCGCCCCCCGGCCGAGGACGGGGACCCACGCACCGCCCCCCGCCCATCTCCGCCCCGCAGGCGCGCCCCCGCGCCCCCGGCGCGCGCCCCCGCGCCCCCGGCCTCCTCCGATCTCGGAACCGCTCTGCGCCCGGCGCGCGCGGGAAAGGCCGGCGGAGAAGCCCCGAGCGCTGCGCGCGCGCGGGCCGCGAGCACCCAGGGCTCCCCTCCCTTCCCCCACCTCCTCTTTCCCGCCCGATCCGCGCTCCCCCCCACCTTCCCACCCTCCGCGCGGGCGCCCCACGCGGTGACAGCTCAGGGGCCTGTCGCCAGAACGCATCTCCAGGCCCCCGCCCCTCGCAACATTTGTCACCTGACACGACCGTAAGCAGGAACCACCGCGTTGCGGCGGCTTCCAGTCCGGCTCGCGCCCCGGCTCCCCGACCCCCCCCCCCCCGCTTCTTTTATTCCTCGCGCCACTCGCTGAGGGTCTAACATCTCTCCGGACCGGATTATTTAAAGGAGAAAAAGAAAGGAAAAGCGAGGTCATCTCAGCGCCGTATCAGCCATTCAGGAGGCTGGATGTCGGTTTTGAAAGAAATGGCGCTAAGCTCCGCTTCTCGATTTGGGAAACGAGCGCAATTAAAGGAAACCGCTGCCTGCGGCGGGCGCGACAGCTGGACACTGAGCGGCGCTGGCGCGGGCGGAGCGCGGACCCGGCGCCCCAGCAGGTAGGTGGAGCCGGACCCCACGCCCGGGGTCCCCGCTGGGTCGGGGGCGCCCCTTCCTCCCCCTGCTCCCCGCGTCGCCGAGGGCGCGGGGCTGGGCGGGGAAGCCTGGCAGTTTTTATTTTCGGTTTTAACCTTCGAGAAGCAGCGCAACATCTGAACGCTTCTTCCTCTTTCCTCCGCCCGGGGCACTCCCCTCCCCCATGGGCTGCTCCCCGCTTTTCCCGGTTTCCCCGCGGCGGCGGATTCTCGGCCAGCAGCCGGCCTCCCCCTCTCCTCCTCCTCCTCCTCCTCCTCCTCCTCCCTGCCGGCGTCCCGACGCCCCTGGCGAAAGCGTGGTCCCGACTCCTCAGCATGGTCGCCCTGCCCGCTCCTCCCGGCCTCCCCCTAGGGGCCCCCTCTCTCCTTCCACGCCGCTGATCCTTCGTCGCCAGCCGCCCGCCCGCCCGCCCTCCCCCTTCCCCGCCGTGGTCCACTCGGCACAGGAAAAGCGGCGGAAGGAAAGGAAGCAGCAGCCTAGAGGAGGGGTGAGTCGAGGCTACAGAGGCGGCCTGAGGACAAGGAGCTCGGTTGCAGAGCGCAGCCCGGCAGGTCCCGGCTGCCCGGCTGGATGGAGCTCGGCCGCGGGCTCGCGGGCCCCGGCACGGCGGGAAGTCGAGCCCAGGACGCCGCTCTCCGGCGGGCGGCGCTGACCCGGTGCCCCAGCCTCCGCGCCTGCTCTCAGTCGCGATCGATCTAGAGCCTCTCCGGCTGCCGGCGCGGCCTGGCCGGCCCGGCGCGTAACAGAGGATGTGGGACTAGGCCCAGCCTTCGCGGAACCTTGAAGATGGCCCGCCGCGCTGTGGCTTCTACGTGTGCCCGGGCCTGGTGCTTGAGCTGCAGAAGAGGACCCAGGGCGTGAGAGCCCACAGGGCCTTCTAGATCAGGTGCCAAGCCCCCCGGTACGTGGAGAAAGTGAGGTTTGCACTGCCCAAGCCACGCTCCCGAGAGGCCAGGTCTGGCGGCAGGCTTCTTCCCGTTCCCCATCCCTCCCCTCGTCACATGACCTAGCCGTCGACCAGGCCGGTTGGATGAAGTGAGACTTAGGTACCTACCAGTCTTAAAAAGCTGCTCGAAAGGTCAGGGTCTTCACGACGCATCTCTCCCCTCTCCGACAGGAGTGACTCAAAATTTACCGAACACTGTGTTCCGAGCTGGGGCTGCCTGCCACTCCTCCGTCCAGAGTGAATCCCCTTTCTTGGTCTTCATAAAGGGTAGCTCTGTCTCCTTCAGATCTCTTCTCAAGTTGCTGCTCAAAGACTCTTCCTCTTTCAGGCCCCATTTTATCACCGTGGTTTTTCGTTTTGTTTTGTTTTGTTTTGTTTTTGTTGTTTTTTTTTCTGTATGGTATTTAGCATATAGAAATTATCTTATGTAACTGTTGACTTGTTTGTGGTTTGTCTCTTATGGTAGTCTATAAACTCCATGGGAGCCAGATCCTGCTCTCTTCCACTACACCAGTGACCCTTCCCCCGGCCCCCCAAAAAAACTTCATAGGGGGAGATGCATTAGTAAAAAACATACATTTATAATGAGGGGGTTTCATTGTATGGTACTGGAGAGCGTGGGTAGAAAAAGTGCTGCCCAGTTCCAGCATGGAATCCCGAGGAAGTGGAAGACAGGGTTTCCAGGCAGGGAATTAGCTGTGGCAGTAAACCATGGTGGGTGACCACAAGATTTGTATTGCACATCTCTTGAGATTATTAGTGTTCTCCAAAGAAACAGATGGAATAGGATGGGTGTGCATGTGCCTGCGTGTATGATTTGTTCTGAGGAACTAGCTTACGTGATTATAGGGCCTGGCAAGTGAAATCTGCAAGACAGGTAGGTGAGGCTGGAGACCCTGGGAGGAGCTGATGTTGCAGATTTGAGTCAAGAAGCCTAAAGACAGAATTCCTTCTTTGGAAAACGTATCTTTTCACTTAAGGCCTTGGTGAGTCCCACACACATTATGGAGGATAATCTGCTATATTCAAAGTCTATGGATTTAATGTCAATTATACCTAAAAAGTGCCTTCACAGCAACATCTTGACTGGTGTTACAGCTGGTACTCTAACCTAGCCTCGTGGACACCTAGTACTAAATATCATATTATCCCAGTATGTCTGAGAAGTCTACCAAGCCTTAGTTTTCCAGACAAGTTTGAATTCAGAAATCTATCTGTATTAATTGGGCCTGTACAGCTTAACCTATAGCCATTTCATCTCCCCCCTAGACTTGTTCCAGGGTTAAGGGAAAATGCCCACTTCCAAGGCATGACATTTGAGTAAGAACATTAAGTAACGTCATTATACAGTAAGCTCTGTGTTCAATGAATATAAATTTTAAAATTTGAACTTAAATTCCATCTTGGTTTTCCCCTGCTGCCCAACACCTGTGTTTTGTAAGTTGTGGTAAGCAGGGGAATTCTGTGCAATTTTAATAGTACCGTAAGCAAAATACAATTATGAAGATGAATCTTTAGCAAAACAACCAGTTTGTGGTATTACAAAGACTTTTGGAATTCCAAATGACTTTTGGCTATGTGCTCTTCAAAAAATGTATGATCAAGGATGCAGCATTAGTATGTGTACACACTTATACTTGTATTACTTTTTGTATCCTCACAGTGGCCCTTTGAATTTGGGATTACCACTTCTATCTTACAGGTGAGAAAACTGAAGCCCACTGGCCAGCAAGTGCTTGGGCTGGAATCATCAAGAAGGGTTTAGGACTATAAGCCTTGTGTTCTTTCTGTTGTGCTAAAGGCTGGAGTCAATAGGGAGTGAGCTATCATTTGTGCAAATAGAGAATCAATGTGATTTTTTTCTCTTTGTTCTTTTCCTGTGGCCTAAAAAACTGATCTCTCAGAACTCTCTTAGTTTTTTAATGGAGGAAAAATGTTTTCTATGTTGGCTCAGCAAATTCATCCTACAGGCAGAGATAGAAGAGGGTATTAGATAAACCAGTAGAAAAATGAGAAAAGAATACAATGGGTAGCTTATAGTAGAGCATATACAAATGGTCAGAAAAATATATGAAAACTCAGTTTTACTCATGAGTAAAGAAAGGTAACAGAAGCAATGACATATCTATTGGATGTAGCAAAAATAAAAAAAAGTGATAATATTGGTAAAGTCATCAGAAAACAATCACAAACTATTGTAACTTGGTGTGATTGTTTTGGAAGGCAACTTTACAGTATTTATAAAAATTGAACATACGTGTCCCTTTGACTTACCAGTACCTCTCGTATAACTCATGTAAGTATGTAAAGATACACATACATAAATATGTGTATGGAAATATATACCACATATGTAGTATGTGCATATATGCATGGAAAGAAATATATGTTATGCTTGCATATATTTGTATTTATGATATTATTTGTATTTTTATATATACAGATATATGTTTATATACATATGTAAAGATGTATGTTCCTTTAATTCAGAAATTCCACTCAGTAACTCATGCTGATATGAAAAGTGAAAACATATATATGCATATATACACTCATATGTAATATTGAAGATAAAAACAAATACACATGGACATATAAGTATGGAAAGATTTTATACAGAGACATACATATGCATACACACTTGGTGTGTATATGTGTGTATGTGTGTGTGAGAGATGTATTTTTTTTTTTGAGAGAAGTAGATGTATTCTTAACCTTCGCAGTTTCTCTCCTATACATTTCTGCAGATAGTTCATATAAGGAGGCAGAAAAGATTCTGTATAGGATCATATATAGTAGCAAAAAAAAAAAGCAAGAAAGGAAAAAGATTATTTATGTTATCAATATATTTCTTTTCAAAACTGAGTTTCATCCATAAAATACAAAACAATACAGCCATAAAAAAATGAAGTGCATCTATCTGTCCTTATAATGGAAGTTGTTAAAGATCTATTACTAATCAAGGAAAACAAGTTGCAGAATAGTATGATCCCATTTATGTTTTCCCAATGTGTACATTGGGGGAGAGGTGTTTACAATTATATGTACCTATATTTCTGGAAGGTTAATTTAAAATTTTTATTTATTTTTAGGGATGCCTGGGTGGCTCAGTAGTTGAGTGTCTGCCTTCAGCTCGGGGTGTGATCCCGGGACCCCGGATCCAGGGATCCAGTCCCATATCGGGCTCCCTATGGGGAGCCTGCTTTCCCCTCTGCCTATGTCTCTGCCTCTCTCTCTCTCTGTCTCTCATGAATGAATAAATAAAATCTTTAAAAAAAATAAAATAAAATTTTTATTTATTTTTAAAAAATATTTTATTTACTCATGAGAGACACACAGAGAGAGGCAGAGACATAGGCAGAGGGAGAAGCAGGCTTCCTGCGGGGACTCATCCCAGGACCCCAGGATCAGGACCTGAGCCAAAAGCAGATGCTCAACCACTGAGCCACCCAGGCTCCCCATGAGCAAGAATTTTAAAGTAACCACCACAAACATCTCAGACCTAGAGATTCTAATTCTGTAGACTTGATGGTCAATAAATCTAAATTTTAGAACATCTCTCTATATAGATGATTCTATTACGGAGCCAGGATTGAGAACCATGTCCCTATATATTGGTCTCAAATGACTGGCAGGGACAGCACTCTCACTGTAAAGATATAAGAAATACCTAAGGTGCATGTAAAATGAGATGTCATTTAATTTTTCCCTAGAGAAATGATGACATTAAATTCTTTTGTTTAGGGTGAGATGTAAGCAGATCAAAGGCTCCTGCAATCCTGGAATAGATCCATATGTGAGAACTCCATCAAAGCCAGTCCAGAAATTAGAGATTAGTAGAAGATGACAGAATTATGGGGGGGCTTCTGAGTGGGAAGGGGATTAATAGGTGTTTGGGGTTCCTTTGTAAACTTCCACTATAACACAGATGGCTGTGAGAGTCAGCATGTCATCCTCACACATTTCTCAGGTTTTTTTTTTTTTTTTTGTCCTTAGCAAAATCTTGGTTTCTGTTTATTTCAAACATCAAATTGTAAATTAGAGTTGGATGCTCAGTTCTGAGGTATTTGTTGATTTATATTAGTGTGCTTAATATGTAATCCATGCTAGTTACATATTATTTCATTAGCACTGGTTTCAAAGCAAATTTGTTGAAAATTAATAGAGGAGTTATAATATATACATTATATAATTATACATGATATATATTATACTATATAATTATATAATTAAATATAAATGACAAAGAAAACTTACTTTTTCTAAAAGTAATTTTTTTCCTTATGCAAAGAATGGTATTAAAATCTTTTGAGTGGGGGAGTCAAGAGGCAAGAAAGGAGCCATCTTGTTGGTAGTAGCTGAATTTGAGAAAAGTTTTATAGAAAACCCATGTAGGGGGCAGCCCTGGTGGCCTAGCGGTTTAGCGCCGCCTTCAGCCCAGGGTGTGATCCCAGACCTGGGATCGAGTCGTGTGTCGGGCTCCCCGAATGGAGCCTGCTTCTCTGTCTGCCTGTCTCTGCCTCTCTCTCCCTCTCATGAATAAATAAATACAATCTTAAAAAAACCCCAACCCACATAATAGGGAATGAGCAGATTCTAATTTTAGGCCTGGGGACATTTCACAAATCCCATCAGTATGTAGACCATGTAAGTTTGTTTTGGTTTGATTTGATTAATTCTGTTAAATAATTGACCCATCTTCCACAAAACACCACCAAGCTGCTCCTCCTTGTGTTCCTTTCGTTGCTTTCATCTCCTTCTCTGCCCTCCTGAATAACTGATATGTACACATATAGGTGATACAGAAGTCTTCCCTAACCAGCTGGTCTTTAGGATCCCCCAGGTAAAATTTAAGGACCTAAATTTTCAAGGAATCCAATGGAAACAAACCAGGAAGTACAGACCCTTAAAAATGGGTTTGTAAGATCCATGACAGCTGCTTATAGTTGCTTATCTTCTAATGACTACATATTTTAGCATTTTCTTGTCTTTACACTTTGTTCTTTCTGATATCCCCAACTCTGTCTTAAGTAAGCTCTACAGCCCAGCATGGGGGTTGAACTCACCACCCCAAGATCAAGCCTCAGAAATCAAGAGACATGATCTACTGACTGAATCAGCTAGGTGCCCCAGTGCAACCTTTTTGCTTGGTTCTAACTCCTATACCAACCCATTCTAGGTCAGATTCCCTTACTATATGCTCACTTTAAAACCCACTTTTTTCTTTCAGAACGTTTATATTTGTTTGTAGTGCCTACTTCGTCATTACTTTGTAAATCTATTTGGTCTACTTGCTTATCTCACTTTAAGAAATAATTCCTCTTGTGTCTCTGAGGGGCATAAGAGAAACGCAAAAAGCAACAGGAAAAATAAGCAACCTTAACATTTAAACTCTTGATTTTGTAAAGCATCCTTTTTGTTCCTTGTTCTTGAAAATTTGCCTGTAATTTTTCCACTGAGTGGTGGAGGTGGTGCTTAAGAAAGATTTTTTTTTCCCTTCCAGGGCTCCTGAATTTTAAAACATATCTTTCCTTTCTATTCTTCTATGTATCTTTCCTTGACTCATGGTATGGCACAAATATTACTAATAAAGTATAAGACCCCACTATAGTCATGTGTGCCACAAATTCATAAAGGGGTAAAACTTTAGTGGTGGTAGGGAACTTCAGAGCCTAATTCTAGTCTAAATCTAGTCTAATTCCCACCTTTTAGAAATAAGAGGAATTGAGGCTAATCAAAGTCATAGTACTCAGTAATAGGTCATGCAGTTGGAGAACCAGTACTGGGACCCAGGTCTTCCATTTCCAATCAGGTCCTAATTTCTCTCTTTCATTCCCTCTTTTCCCCCTGGTATTATAAATGGAACAGGAGAAGATCATGGAAAGTATTGTGACATAACTACTGTTGCTCCTTCAACTAACTTTTAAAATTAAAATAGTATTTTCTTACATATGTTCTATCATGTGTCATCTCTATGTTCATATCTATTTGTAGCTTAATTGAACACTGTGAAATTTTAGCAATCCCCATATTATTCATGTTTTCACAGAATAACTCAATAGGTTGTTAATAATGAAAACTTAGGATGTCAGAATTTGATTATGATTAGCTGCTGACACATACATGAAAGCAGACCTCTTTTATTTAATTAAAAAATTATTTATTTATTTCTGTACCCAATGTGGGGCTTGGAATTAACAACCCCAAGATCAAAGATCAAGAGTCATATACTCTGCCAACTGAGCCAGTCAGGCGCCCCAGACTTCTTGTATTTTAAAATGACACTGATTTTTTTGCATTTTCTACATAAGGCACCCCACAGAAGTGCTTCTTTAGATGATTTCTTTCATTTTTCCAGATTACTAATTCTACTTGCTCTTCTTCTGGGAGAGTCTTTTTTTTTTTTTTTAAGATTTTATTTATTTACTCATGAGAGAGAGAGAGACAGAAAGAGAGAGACAGGCAGAGGGAGAAGCAGGCTCCCTCCAGGGAGCAGCCCCATGTGCAACTCAATCCCAGGACCCAGGATCACTACCTGAGCCAAAGGCAGACACTCAACCACTCAACTGCTGAGCCACCTAGGCATCCCTGGGAGAGTCTTGAACATTGGAAAAATTATACCCTATTATTAAAAATAATCAATTATTATTTCTCTATCTTGTTCCCCTCTAGGAAATGATACCTATCGGGGATCCCTGGGTGGCTCAGGGGTTTAGCGCCTGCCTTGGGCTCAGGGTGTGATGTTGGAGTCCCGGCATCAAGTCCCACATCGGGCTCCCTTCATGGAGCCTGCTTCTCCCTCTGCCTGTGTCTCTGCCTCTCTTTCTGTGTCTCTCATGAATAAATAAATAAAATATTTTTTTTAAAAAAGAAATGATACTTATCGCTCAGGTTTAAGTGTTAAATGAACAAATGTATTCTAATGTATGCCTGGCTCAAGTTATGTGTCAATAAGAGCTTACATATTTTTCCCAATAAGAAATGTTCTGATTCTCAAAAAAAAAAAAAAAAAGAAAAAAAAAAAGAAAAAAGAAAAAAAGAGAAATGTTCTGATTCCCAATTAACTTTCCCCAGTAATATATTCATTTGGGGATAAAGAATTGGTGGGGAAGTAAAGATTTTTTACTTAGTTCAAAGAAACCCTTTCTTTTGGTCTCTCAGTTTCCCTGTCTCTCTGTCTCCCCTCTGTCACATACATCCCATAAATCTTTTCTTATTATGTGTAGCAGTTTTTTTAAAAAAATAGTTGTTGGTATCATTTATCAATAATTACAAAGTGTGAGAGATGTGAACCGGTTTGAGTCTTTAATGTTTCTCAGGAGTTAGTATTAAATCCACATCATACATTTTTAAGCCAAATTATCCACATCTTGGAGTCCAATCTATTCCTTTTTCTTTATTAAATCATTGAAGTATCAGCTGTTCCAATGCTGTAAGGAATCGAAAAACACTGGACATTAAATCCCAAAGCAGTGTGCCTTTAGTTTGTTCAGCAGATATGAAGACATTCCGTGAGCCATCATCATGTATTTTCAACAGTTTCATACTCAGTTTACTCTTCCAGCAACCATTTGGGAAATACTCCGAGATAATTTACTGGGTAAGTGCATTGGTTTTCTAAAAAATATTTAGAATATTTCATACTTTGACCTCCTGAGACACCCAGTAAAGTGTCACAAATTTTTTTGTTTTGTTTTGTTTTAGTGTCACAAAATTTAACAAAGAAATAAATAGGTGAAGGATGAATGGGTCAAGGCTTTGGCACTGTGCCAGAGCTTGATTTAAAAGCTGTAGTTCTTTCTCACCTCTTTACCAAGGAGCACAAGTTATTTTGTTATCTAAAGCCTCCCCAGTGTTACCGAAGAACAACTCAAAAGTACAAAGTATCACGAAATCTTTTCATCTTACAGGGGGGTTTCTTTGTCCTATCCTATATAGATGGAGCAAATTGTTACAGTTAATGGCGACAGTTGCTCTCGCTGAGATCCACCACGTCATCCTGGGCGCTGACTTCTGGAACTCCCAAAGAATCTCCCCTCGTCTGAGTAACAAACAGCGAGCACCTTCCCCTCTCCAAGAGCTGTTCTGGGACTTCTTGACTCAGGGCTGTCAGAACATGTGGGGAAATTCCAGGTGGCTTTGGCATCCTCCTTTCCCCGTCACTACCCGGTGGAGCTGGGCGCCAAGCTCCCAGGGCTTTCCGCGAGCAGCGCTTCAAAGGTGACTTACGTTGCAACACACAGCATGTAAAGGCTTGGGCACCTGCTGATGCCCAAGTCTACTGTCCAGCTCGTCTTCCTTGTCCTAGTCTTACCGTCTCCTCAGTCTTCAGCTTTCCTGTAGCCCCCCAGAGCCTAAAAGCTTAAAGCAGGGGTTTCCAGAACGCTCCTTCAAGATCCGTGGGGCAAACGTATCATCTGCCTCTCACTCAGAAGCCAATCATCCAATCATCGCCGGCCGCCGCCTGCCACTCTGCCGCCAGCGTCTGTCCCGTGGAATTTGGCAGGCACCTGGGGTTGTTAGGGACTTAACTGGCCGGTTTTTGCCAGAAAACCCTGCAAAGTGAACGACAACACCCCGGAGCTTCTCGTCCAGCTCCTAAATCTCTCTGGAAGTCCTTCTGCATCACCTCTGCGTTTGGCTGCACGGTGAGTGTGAGGGCGGGATCCAGGGAAAAAGAAAAAAGAAAAGAAAAAAAGGCGAACTTACTCGCGGTCTGCTGCTTCTCCCCACCGTGATTCAAGTCTCCTGGAAGGCTTTCAGGCTTTCGCCGCTCCACATTTGTAGCCTCCCTTCAACTGGGCTGGGGGTGGGGAACCGGGGAGAAACGTAGTGGGCGGCTGGGGGTAGCCGCCCTCAGTCCCCCGCGGCTGCGCGCAGGTACCGGGCGACAGCGCCGTGGCCCCGCTCCTCAGCCAGGTCCACGGGCAGGCGGCCCCAGGCATCGCGCACGTCCAGCCGCGCCCCGGCTCGGTGCAGCACCACCAGCGTGTCCAGGAAGCCCTCCCGGGCCGCGTCGTGCACAGGGCGGGTGAGGGTGGCGGGGTCGGCACAGTTGGGGTCGGCGCCGTGGAGCAGCAGCAGCTGGGCCACGCGGGTGCTGCCCATCATCATGACCTGCCGGGAGAGCAGAGTGGTCAGGGCGGCAGTGGTCAGGGCAGCGGGATGCAGGCCTGGGCAGGGACAGGTGGACCATTTCAAAGAAATACCTATTCAGGAAGTATCCACCTAACACAGAGGCGCTACAAGCCTCAGGAGTCAGTTATACTTTGTTGATGCAGCCCCAACACCCCTCACCCGCACCCTCACCCCCGCCCCAGTTATACTCCTTATTCGGCTCTGAGTTCCATCTTATTCTCCAAACACGCGGAGACGAGAAAGCGCTGATAGAAAGCGCTGAGAGTCGTTGTGCGGAAAAAGAAATTTTTGGTTTCCTTTGGAACATGGGCATCTATTTTGTTAAATGATTTATGGGGGGGGGGTTAAGTTTAAAAGCTTTTAAAATCTTAAGATTATTTCCCTTGGTGGCTCTCCCACCTCAGCCATAATCTAGCTCTAAAAATATTTATTAGGCAGTTGATATTTTTAAGAGAGGCGTTAGAGGAGAAATAATGCTTTGAGTTTTTTATTTCTTTTAGTAAATTCCCTGTAGGAGGCTTTTACTTTTCACTCTCATATATATCTGTGCTTATAAATTGAATATAGCCAGACAATTTTGAGTCCAAATTGGATATAGAGGGGGGAAAAGGAAAAAAAAAAGTCCTATCTAGTCTTATAATGAAAAGTTATTTAACAAATGGCTTATCATTTTTAATATTTTAAGTTAACATAACATTTTTAATATTTTAAGGGATAAAGTTTTTTTTAAGATTATTTATTTATTCAAGAGAAACTGAGAGAGGCAGAGACAAAGGCAGAGGGAGAAGCAGAGGCTCTCTGCGGGGAGCCGGATGCAGGATGTGATTCCAGGACCCGGATCAGAGGCCCAACCACTGAGCCATCCAGGTGCCCTGGCAAGGGATAAAGTTTAAAGGATAATATATTTAACGTAACATAAACATGTAACATAAACAGTATATTTACATTATACAGGATTTTATGATGTCATAGGGTTTTATAATGTTAGATAGTAAATAATTTGCTATGTATAAAAGAACTTGGTTGTCAGTCAAATCAGAGTAATGTATAACTTAGAAAAAAATGTTCTGGAGCTGTAATTCTGTAGCATCTACTTTTGTATATGCATTTTATACAAGTATTTACTTTCTTATTTTAAAAATAAAACAGTTTTTGATAACTAAATATCCAAAATGGAGTTTTTCTTGTGAGTTTAAGTATTTTAAGATGTACTATGCAATTGAAAGATAGTATATGATTTGTTTCATGAATATTAAAAACATCCATTTCCCCCCTTAAAAGATATGATATGTTATTTCTATTAGTGACGTATGTAAGGTATTTCATATGTAGAGGGGAAAAACGTGGTTCTTAGAATCTCAGAACATGAATTAAAACTATAATTAAAATTTCTTTTTACAGTTATTAATATCATTTGAAATCTTAAATTATCCCTCATTTCTTTCTTTTTTAATTAATTATTTATTTTTTTAAAAAGATCTTATTTATTTATTCATGAGAGACACAGAGAGAAAGGCAGAGACACAGGCAGAGGGAGAAGCAGGCTCCATGCAGGGAGGGCGACGTGTGGGACTCGATCCCGGGTCTCCAGGATCAGGCCCCGGGCTGAAGGCGACGCTAAACCGCAGAGCCACTCGGGCTGCCCTCTTTCTCTCTTTTTAAAAGATTTTATCCACTTATTTATTTGTGAGAGCGCCCACAAGGGAGGAGGGACAGAGGGAGAGGGAAAAGCAGCCGCCCTGTTGAGCAGGGAGCCTGATGCTGGGCTCAACTCCAGGACCAGGGGCTCATGACCTGAGCCAAAGGCAGACGCTTAAGGGACTTAACCACCCTAAGCTATCCCTCAAGTCTTATAACACTTTTCTAAGAATGCAAAAGGAATGAACATATTTTCTTTTAAAACCTACACAATTAATAGGATTCCTTAATAACAGATGGGTTCTAGAATGTGACATCGAGATGAATACTAACCACTATAGTCAACAATAAAGCACAAAATATTACTTTGAATTTTAAGGGAATCAAAAAATATCAGTACTTATTAAAGCTGGATCAATAAACATTGGATAAAGAGTGTTAACAATGAACACTGCTAACGTAAAAGGAATTAAGCACTGCGGCCGAGGGATCCTGGCTTATCTCTTTGTATTCATTTTGGCTCTATGAGAAAAGAATACAAAGAGTTTCACGGTAGGTAATTCGTGTTCAACGATTCCGCATTATTCCTTAAATCTGATTCGGATTGTGTAACTTGCCATTTAATGGTCTCTCATCAATGAAAGGTGGTCGATATTTATTGAAAGAGAGTCGAGAGAGTTTTCCTCCCCAAACATCCTGCCCTTTTCTCCCAACTGAATCTACCCCTCGCATTTGTGATCATGGGACGGGAGAGAGAGTATGGACATTTTCCCCACCACTGAAAAGAAAACCAAACTTAAGTAGCGTTTGTTTGTTTGTTTGTTTGTTTGTTTTTTCCGGCCCCTTCTTTAGGATCCTCGGTGGGGGAGAACCCGCGTTACACCTGGGCCCCACGGCCTCACGGAGGAGACACGCAGATACGTCGGTGAAGCTCTCGGTCCCCGTCGCGTCCCGCGGAGGCCGCTCCCCTGCGTTCCTGCGCCCCCTGCCGGCGAGGCCCCGGGGCCCCAGCTACCTGGATCGGGCGCCGGCCGAAGCTGTTGACTCCGTTGGGATCCGCGCCGGCTTCCAGGAGCTGCCGCACGGTCTCCGCTTGCCCCTGCGCCGAGGCGCTGGCCAGGCCCGCGTCGCCACTGCCGCCGCCGCCCCCGCCGCCGTCCCCGCCGCCGCCCCCGCCGCCGAGCAAGCCTTTGGCCTCGTCGCGCATCTCGCAGCCCGCAGACGCAGACGGGCCGGGAGGATCCACCGCGGGCCGTGAGCGGAGCTTCGTCGCACGCCTCCCTGTTTCCCCTCCTCGTCCCGGCGCCCTCTCCCCGCGGGAGGAGAGCTCAGGTCAGCTTTCAGCCCTCTTCCGCCGTCCTCCCGCGGCTTGGGGGCCCGTGCAATGGCCGAGCCCCTCGTGGTGAAATGGGCTTTTCCAGGCGCGCTCCCGGGACGAAGCGCCTCGGGTGGCCGCAGCCGAGCGCAGGGCGCGTCCGGCCGCCGAGGGCAGGCGCGTCGCCGCGTCCACACCGCCAAGCGTCGCTCCGGCTAGGTGGAGAGCCCGCACGGACTGAATCCGTCTCCAGCTGGGCGGCCGGGCCGGGCACTCCCCACCCCCTTAGGCTCCGCCCCCGGCCCGGCCGGCCTGCGCGGGCGCGTCCCACTGCGCGGGCGGGGAGGCTCGGCCCGCAGTGACGTCACAGCCGACGAAGTCGGGGCGGCGTGGCGGGGGGGGGGGGGGGCGGGCGGCGCGGACGGCGCTGGGACGCATGCGCCGGGCACGGGGCGCCCGCAGCCTGCAGTCCCGCCCGCCGAGCGTCCTGCAAGGCCTCAGCTAAGGTTTTGGAAAAGTTGGATCCCTGCGCTCAGTCCCTAATCCCCTCCCTCCAGCAGGCGGAGCAGAGGATCTCTATTCCTTGAGCCCCGTGCCGGCTGGTTTCACGCCGGAGAGACGTTAGTCGTTCCTTGTGTAATGGAATGGCTGGCTAAGAGAAAGGCATTTAAAATGACTTTGTCCCCCTTAAGATTTCTGAAGGTGACAGCTCTGCACCTGTCACGCAGGTTAAATTCATCCCCAGGCAGTACTTGAGCTTCCCTAGCTCCACATCTTGCATCAACCGTAGCAAATTTCTTTTGGTGTGTCTTCTTAGCTGAATCAGTCAAAAATCAGTCACGGTGAAAAGTCCTGAGATTCCTGTTTGAATGTGCTTTTTATTCTTTTCATCTTTGAATAATGGGTACACACGCGCGCGCACACACACAAAACCCCAAAAAACCTAGTTTGAGATTGACAATGGCAAGCTGGTGGTGTTTTTGAGACATTTAAAAAATATGAATATATATTTTAAGAATCTGAGATTCCAATTTCATGATGTTTGAATGATATTTTTGTTTGCACTCTTACCTATTTAAACCCACTTTGCAAGCATTTGGTTTTTATTTATGATGAGTAATAAAGGAAATTTATGCAGTAATAATGAAACATAATAAAACAGGGGTGTGGTGCTGGGCCTGTCATTAAACGGGCTGAACCTGTCATTAAATCCTCTTCTGAAGATTTAAAGGCCAATTGCTTTTCTTCCCAATCTGCCTAGGTGAGTTTGAATTAACATATGCATTGCTCTAAAGATTTTAAGAAATTACAGCTGATGTTTGATTGAAATAGGAAAAGAACCACAAGTTATGTATCTGTTGCCTGAAAGTTCTGGTGAGTAGCTACGTTAGACTGAGCTTCTTCCAACATGGAGCAGTTCTTATTTACAAGATTAATTTTGGTTCCGAGTGCAGAGGAAGAGTCTTTAAGGAAGGGCAATTGCTTGATTACTCATAAATGAGAGTTTATTTCACATGTTTCTTCTAGCATACCTTAGCTTGGACCTGAGCTCTTTAAAGACAGAGGAGCCTATGGAAGTGGTGGTTAGGGGTGAAGAGCTACTAACTGAGACAGAGTTGAAATCCACCTGGATAGGGAAGGGAAGGAGGCAGCATTAATAACCATTTTTCCCCCTCTCTCTTACCCCATCCCCATTTCTTAGTTTTCAGTTTCCTGATTTCTCTATCTTTTCCTCTTATTTGGGCCTTCACTCTTATCTGAATAAGAAAAGCCCCCTTATTTGTTGATGGTGGCTCCATTCCTTGGTCTGGCTAGAAGTCTACTTGTGTTTGAAAAGCATAGATGAGCTGTTTTTGACCAGTCTTTGGGGACAGTCCCCATTCACCGTGTATTGGGGATTACAGGTGTGTTGGTAGAATGAGAGAATGAGGAGGAAATATGGGAAGTGGGAAGTCAGAGTTTTGAAACGGATGGCCTTGGTTTTTTGGGAAGTGGGAAGTCAGAGTTTTGAAATGGATGGCCTTGGTTTTTTGCTAATCATTCTGAAGGGCTGTGTCATCAGACTGATATTGGTAGATGTGGTAGCAAATGGATTCAGTCCAGAACATCTTCATCAGAACAGCCTGGCTACCCAGAAATATAGTGCATAGCCAAATGTAATAAGGCAGGTTGCCTTCTAAAGGAGTGTTTTTGGGATTTTTCCTCTAACGGATCCAGTAATTAAATTGTTTGACAAAGTTTAGCTCAGGACGTCCTATATTTCATGAGTCCACCATTGAATAAGATATGAGTGCTAGCTTTTAAGAGTCTCCTTTGTGGCACTCAAAACTAATAGAGAGGGCAGCCCCAGTGGCACAGGGGTTTGGCACCGCCTGCAGCCTGGGGTGTGATCCTGGGGTCCCAGGATCGAGTCCCACATCGGGCTCCCTGCATGGAGCCTGCTTCTCCCTCTGCCTGTGTCTCTGCCTCTTTCTCTCTGTGTCTATGAATAAATAAATAAATAAAATCTTTTAAAAAAACTAATAGAGAGTTTCAATAAACTATAATAACTTTACTAAGAATGTATCTATAAGATATTTTGGGAGTGAGAAGAGGGGAACTTAACTCAAGATAAAGATGCAGGGGGTTTCTTAGAGGAGCTGCCAGATGAAGACTCTAAATAATGCATCAGAAATTGTTTCCTGTCTTCTGACATTGAGCTTTGGATTTATCTGAAACTGATTTTTTTTTGGGGGGGGGGCTTCTCTGAAACTTAATAAAAAGGTCAGAAAAAGATAGCTTCAGCCAATTTTTAAAAACATTTTATTTATTTATTCATGAGAGACACACAGAGAGAGACAGAGACATAGGCAGAAGGAGAAACAAGATTCCCTGCAAGGAGCCTGATGTGGAACTTGATCCCAGGACCCCCGGGGTCACATGCTGAGACAAAGGCAGATGCTCAACTGCTGAGCCACCCAGGCGTCCCAACGTGAGCCAATTTTTGAGCTACCTTCTTAAGTGGTATGGCCAAAGTGTCTTAAAAATAAAAACTCTTTGGAGTTGATAAGGTAATGGAAGAAAATTTTTTTTAGTTGAAGGGGACATAGACAAAAGACAGGGAAAAAGCCAATTAGTAGAATGACTGAGAATCTTCCAGGAGGCTGGTTTGTGAGCTTCACTAAGTTGACCGGAAAAGAATTTTGGGCGGGGGAAATGTTGCCAGCGGTACGTGCAGAGTACTAGCACCACGGACAGCGCCTGCCTAGTAAGCCTGTCTCGGTGGTCCTAACCCACTCTAGAGTGAGAATTCCTGAGAAAGCGTCACACTTGATCTTCCAAACCCCTTCCTCTCCCTAAAATTTGAAAACACGCACACGGAAACTCGATGGAATTCTTTACGAAACTTCATTACCATGGACTGCTCAATCTGGTTTCCAAATATTACTGGATTATCTAATATTCTCTATGTAAAGAACATTAAATATCCTCTATACTTAAAAGAAGAGGGGAAATCACACTTAATGTCTACCCTGTTCCAAGTGCTTTACAAGTATTATTTCATTTAACTCTCATAAAACCCCTATGCAAAATACATTAGTTTTCCCATTTTACAGACAAGACAAAAGGATCAGAGAAATTAAGTAACTTGCATACTAGTTAAGCATTGTTGGAGGTAGAGTCTAACCTATGTGCTTCAGAGCCTCTACCCCTAATACTACATAGTGTTTTTAGCAGCTGTCATGATAGGCTTAACTGGAAAAAAGGTGCAATGAACTGGCTTATAATTATTTTCCAGTCTACATTGTGTTTTCCAGATGGTTCACCTCACAGCACACCCTTAATAGACTTCAAAGATGACCTTTCACGTGTAATACAATAGCACATTTGTCTTGGACAATAGGGTGAGATAATGAAACATTTTACCTCTCCCTGAAACCCAGCTGTCTCTAGGATGAAACACAACCTATTGTTAATGCTTTAAACACATTTAGGAGATGAAGTGGATGGGCAACTGAAACTTAGAATTGTCACAGCTATGCCATTTAATATGGTGGATAATTTATAAGTGAGGAAAGAGAAAGTAAATGGTAAATTGGCATGGAATTTTGTAGGTAAATAGGGAGGAATGCGTAGAATCAGTTTCAATATAATAAATAATGTAAATTTCTGGTGATAATGTTTATATTCTAGTTGGTGAAACTATATATGAACCCACTATGAAAGTGTGAATACAAATTAGTTGAGTATCCAAGAAGAAATAGTGACATAGCTTTGCATATGGTTAGATCCAAGATTTCTAACTGGGGAACTTCAGAATCATTTGGGGGGCCTTTTCAAACTATATATGACCCACCTTCCATCAGGAAGCTTCATTCTCTCCATTTCATCAGTTGAGATTTATGATTCATGGTTCATAGTGTATCTTTTCCTATATTCCTATATTTATTTTTCTTCTTTTTTAAAGATTTTATTTATCTGAGAGAGAGAGAGAGAGAGAGAGAGAGAGAGAGAGAGAAAATGCACAAGCAGGGGGGAGGGGCAGAAGAAGAGAGAGAAGCAGACGTCCTATTCAGCAGGGAGCCCCAGGGCGGCTCTGTCCCAGGACCCAGAGATCATGACCTGAGCCAAAGGCAGAAGCTCAACTTCTGACTGAGCCACCCCAGGTGCCCCTCCCATATTTATTTCTTAAGTTTAACTGAACAGTGGGCATTTTAGCATCTGTATTAGTTTTCCAAGGCTGCCATAAAACAATATCACAGAAGAGTTGATTTAAACAACAAAAATTTATTTGCTCATGGTTTGGTTTCTCTTGAGGTCTCTCTCCTTGACTTGCAGGGGGTCACATTCCTGCTGCTTCTTCTCATAGTCATTCTGTGTGCATATAATCTCTTTTGTGTGTCCAAATTCCCTCTTCTCATAAAGAGACACTAGTCAGGTTGGATTAGGACTCACCCCAACAGCCTCATTTTAGTTTAATCACTTCTTTATTTTTTATTTTTTTTTAAAGATTTTTTTTTATTTATTCATGAGAGACACAAAGAGAGAGGCAGAGACACAGGCAGAGGGAGAAGCAGGCTCCATGCAGGGAGCCGGACATGGGACTCGATCCCAGTCTCCAGGATCAGGCCCTGGGCTGAAGGTGGCCCTAAACCGCTGAGCCACCCAGGCTGCCCTAATCACTTCTTTAAATGCTTTATCTTCAAGTATAGTCACAGTCTGAGATACTGAAGGTTAAAGATTTAACATATAAATTTTGGAGGGATACAATTCCATCTATAATAGAGTCTTTCCCAAT